CACACTCCTGGTACTCAGATGGAGGGTTGGCACAGGTTCTTTGTGGGGTCTCTGGGGTCTTCAAAGGACAGTGCCTTGCAAGCCATGTGGAGGATAGCAATGGTCTTGATGCTGCAGTCTTCAGGAAGAAATCTGTTTCTTCCAGTCTGGGCATGTGGGAGCTTTTGCTCTTCTAAGGAAAACTGTAGGAAATGCTTTAATGTCCAATCAACATTTATGTACAGGAATTAAACTGATTTTCTGTTCCTTCCATAAAGCACCTGTGAGTTAGTTTCAGGACGTCAGAAAAGTAGGTTTACCTGCCCTTTGTGCTAATAATCTGTATTTCATAACTTTAAGAAGTCACAGGACTGTACACACCTTTACAGAAAAACTACAGCAGTTTAAAAGCTACATGTGTAAGATGAAGTTTAAGAGTAAGCTATTACTTTTGTCTTGGACTATTTGTGTGTATTTACCATTTTATTTACATGATAAAATGCTGCAAAATGTATAAATAGTGAAAAAAATAATCCATCTGCTCCAATAGGCTTTTCTAAACAGTTCCATCATAGTATTAGCTATCATTGTAGCTCCATTTCCATTAGATTAACTACTTTGTCCATGGTAAAGCAAGAAACTGAACATATGGGATCTGGGTACTATTTTCATGGGGTAACCGTAGTGGTTTGGGTTTACTTCTTCCCTGTGCAGCTGATACCTCATTCCTGGAGGGACTGAACTTCAAATGGCTTAGTCAACCAAGCCAATGTGGATAGCTGTATTTCAGTAATACATACCACATGTACTGTCAGCTTAGTCTCCCCTGTGTCTACTAAAGTAAGATGATGTACTTTAGCCCTGCCTGCAAGCATAGTAGAGTGGCAAGCAAGTCTGCTGCGGTTGATTAGGAGCCTTATCACACTCAATCCCAGTACCAATCTAGTGCTAGTGATTTCAGGTTAAGTAGTCTACTAAGGATTTAAAAAAACCCCACATGAACCTGTGCTTCCTTGCAGCAGGATGAATTGCAAACTTAATGGCTGTGCTGTCCACATTTGGTTCTGACAGAGGAACAAGTACACCAATGGGGCTGGATGCTGTCCAGCTGGAGATCAGGGTTTTTACATTGAACTCATTCCATAACATCGCTAATGAAGAACTTTGCCCTCCCTCTCTTCCTTCTACTTGGATGTTGGTGTCCATGGCATGAATAAGGGTGTCTGCAGGGAACTGCTGTTTACCAGGGAACACTGTCAACACAGAAAAGTCTGGCAACAACATCCTGCAGGGGAGAATTTCTGACTGTACCTTGGATAATACATACAGGAAACATTGCGTATGGCAGGAGGAGAAAAGCCAGAGAGGGGAGACCTTCGTAAAGCTGAGCGTAAAGACACATGGCAGCAGCTGATTAGGATGTGGAGTGAGTGAAGGAGAAAGCAGGAGAGATTTGCATTCACTTGGCATTTCTTGAGCCAAAATATGGGGACACAGGGTAATGAACAATGTGAATAGGCCTAAGCCAAAAGTTGTTCTCCTGTGTTTAGTACAACTCGTAATACTAGGGCCTTAGAGACCCAGACTTCTTCCAAAGGCTCAAAATAAAGTAGTTTTCCCCTTCCATCCTTGATCACATGAGAGTGGACCCTCTCCGTCCCCAGTGCTGGTGGGGATATGGCTCACAGCAGCCCCATACACCTTTGAAAGAGGTTTTCCCAAACACTACAGAGTTGTCCATGTGGGAAGGCTGCTGAGCCAGGGTCAATGCCAGCCTTGCCTTTTTTGGGGCAACTGCTTGACAGCAAACATTTAACAGAGCAACTGCATTGGATGGGCCTGAAAGGTTTTTCCCGGCAGGACACAGCGTGGGACTCAGTGAGTGTAAAACAAGGATAGCTGGTGAGAAAGGTGCTACAGCCTGTCTAATCAGAGAAGGACCAGGAGCAGAGGAGGCACAAAAAACCACCACTTTTCACAGTACAGTTTGTAACACCATAGGGGTGTGCAGGACAGCCAGACTCAACTCTAAGGTTTTGGGGAGTGCTGCTAACACACTGATTGCTTTGTTCAGCCGCTGTTTGCTAGGGATTATTTTGGTTATTTTCTTCTGCCAGACACAAGGGCAAGCAGTTGCCAGCCAGCAACCAAACCGTCATGACTCCTGGAAGGAAGAGGGGCCCTGTTGGCATAGGGTGGGCAGTCTGGGAAGACCCCAGAGGTCTGCTTTGCAATTGTGCCCATGCACCTGCAGTGCTGCCTTCAGAAGAGAGCATGATGTGGGACTTGCTGCCATGGCCACCCAGGCTGGCCCTGCCAAGAGCAGAGTGCTACATGGAACAGACAGCACACACTGAATGGTTTGCTTTGGCGCCACAGCACACTGCTTCTTTTAAACATGGAAATTTACCCACAGCTATCTGTCATTTTTTTCCTGTTTGGGATGTAAAGCTGAAACAAGTCTTGCAGTCCCTCAGTTTTGTGTTGTCAGTCCCTGACCCTGTCAGCTGGCAAACCACTGGTAGCATAGTAATTACTCAGATGCTGATTTACTTTCTTATAATGAAGGTAAATTTATGTGCCTTTCTGATGGTGTGCATGTGGGACTGACTATCATTTTTTAAAGCCCCCTGGCTTCTTCTCTTTCAGGTCTCTCAGGATAAGTTGTTCTTTATTTTCCATATCTCATTATTGTGAGGCACCCAGGTCAAAGCAGTATGATTTACATGATGTTCTGACAGTGCTTTCAGGCTGCCACTTTGTATGTGGCATGCAGTCCTATCTTTGCCTGATTAGTGACGTGCATTTCAGAGCAGTGAGCACTTTGACTGTGCTCAGTGTATTGCATTATCTTCAGTTCAACTGCTTAAAACTCTGGCTTTATATGTTATATGCATTGTCTAACACAGATAAAACTTCTAGACTTCTTCATCCATTTAGCCTCCTGTCTCAGTACATTATTAGGCACCAATTACCACCCTAACTAGGTTATGAGCACAATAAGATAAGATGTGCTCTTGCAATTGGGTGGATGTTAGTGAATATTTGTCTTCATATAAACAAATAAACATATTTGTATATGTTTAATTGCTTGTATGTAAGTGAATAAGAAATTAATTTAAGCTTATTTGATTGAGCAAATGACATTGATTTAGGTAAGTGTTTCATAGAGGTCCTTGGGCCACTCAGGAGTCGGACATACATGCTGACCTGCAGCAGTTCCACTATAGTTTTTCTGGGCCTCTTTTTTACATACCCTGCCAAGTGTTCATTCTCCAGCACATAACAGGTTTCTATATAAAGAATGGTTTTAAAAATAACTCCCATGTACTTCTTAGATCCAGATGCTCTTTTTAGCCATGGAAAACTCAACGTTGTGATGACATATATTCCCACTGGGAGAAATGTTTATTCTCCTTGCTTTACAAAATGTAGTGTGCAAAATCTGGATGATAATTCGGGACTACATTTATTATGAAATGTCTCAAATATGAAATTAAATACTTCTGTTGGTCTGATCCTATTTGTATTAAAGCAAAGTACAGAAGGAATATACATGGGAATATCATTCACAGTCCTCCCTCCTTATATTTCAAATGTTCTACCCACCAGCCAGTAAAGAAAATTCTATACAAAGAGAAATAGGAAAAAATGCACCTCTTTCCTCATTTCTAATAAATACCATACCCAGTAACTTCACAGACACTGTAAAAATTGCAAGATACATGGTAGTCGGGTGTATCTGATACAGATATATATATGTTACACCAACCTATCCAGAGAGTGGGGCTAGTAATTCTTCTGCTGTGATACAGATGTTATGTATGTGAAGGTCTACATCTGTCCCATGGGTTGATGGGTAGAAACAGGCTGTTGATGGGTAGAAACAGGCATTTGTGAGGCACAATCTAGCTCATGCAAAAGCAGAAGACTTCAGTCAGCCAGCTGAACCATAGCACTGAAGTGCCTGTTATACTCTTTTCCAAGGAGAGAAGAAAGCTAATTAATTTACTCATTTAATTGCAGACATTTGCAGTTAGATCAGGCAAATTACATCATAGGTTTTGGGGAGAACAGTAACACTGACTAGCCTTTTGCAGGATAATGAACTCTAGTCCCTGTGGCAATCAAGGATTCTTTTTGCTGTGTATTTAAATGGGATAAGATTGATATGCCATACTGCATTTATTCATCCCTTATAGAAAGAAAGATGTAATTTAAGTGCTCAATAAATCAGACTTGTCTGCACATATTTAAACTAAATGAGCTGGGTTCATTTTCCAAAGATATCTGTCTAGTTCCATTTTAGACAACTTACATGGTCTCCAGGGGCTTCTTTCAAAGGTCACAGCTCTTCCAAATCTCTCATGTCACTGCCTGCTGACCTGGTGCAGGTTCCTCTGATGGCACTGAATGCTATATTTAGTCAATTGAATCTCAACAAATAATTGGAAAAAAGGCCTGTAAGCAATTCTAAAGATATACAATGTTTGTAGGAATAACTGTGTTAGTTCCCTGGGGCCATGAATTCACAGATGACTGTGTGCTGGCTGCAGCACCCATCTCCAGAGGAAGCCACTGAGTCAAAATGGACAAGTACAGAAAAAGATGATGGCAAACTGGGATGTTGTGTTATTTACTGTTGGGAGGAGATCATCATTCATGCAGCTTGTACCCAACTCACATTGAGCAACTGCTCCTAGCACTTATGAAAACATTCTGCAGCCAGTTTTATGCTGTGATGAGAGACTGAATGGCCAAAAGGACATTCTGATCTGTTGGAAACAAATGTTCAAGATGCCCCACAACTAAACTTCACTCTGAGTCTACACATGCTACGTGCATCGCAGAAGAACTACTTTAGAAGTGGTTTACTAATTGTGGCAAATGCAAGTGCTGTAGATTTTAAATGGAATGCTTAGCAGCAGCTATGGCTGATGGGTTTAGTGAATGTTCTTGAAGGTGGACACCTGAAAATTTATATAGTCTGATACAAAGAATACAAGAAACATACACGTCTATTCTCCTTTCAACCATCACATAGTCTTTATTAAGCAGAATATTAAATTAAATATGAACAGCATTTATCTCCTAAAATTCAATTTTTCTGAGCATATGTCAGATAAAGTCCACTCCATCTTCTATCTGATTTTTAACTGCTTGCTAAAGCAATACCTATTGCAACTGCATGTAGTAGGAAAAAATAAAAGATGAGATAATCGTCTAGACTCAGAGTAAGGCATCCAAAATAAATTTGAGTAAAATGACCTTAATTTAACAAAGTGTTTCAGCTTTAAGCATGCAAATAGACAGTGAATCACATGCTTAAAGAAGACTCATGTATGGTATATGCTTCTTGCTAAATTAGGCATAAATTATATCTACATATCAAATGGCAGCAAAAGCTCAGTAAAAAGACAAAACAAAGGGAAAAAACCCCAACCAACCAACCAACCAAAAAATCAGAAAAATAACCCACCCCACCCCCTGAAATTAAAGATAACCATGAAAGCTTTGGTTCAGGAACAATAGTTTCTCAGATGTAATGCAGTCCACATAAGGCTTGTTTTGTTTTTACTCAGTCACTTTATTATTTATTGCTCAGTATCAAAAGGAATCAAACTGACACTGATTAAAGGCCATTGTGATTTGTAGGTATTATTCATATAATTCTTTGAATAGTATGATGCACATTGTAGGGATAAATCAAAGTCATAGAAGACTGAAATAGGAGGGAATCACAGTATGATGCAATCATGTAAACAATAGCACATATGTATAGATTAATACAGATTTCCTTTTGTCCACTTGACAGGCCTGATCAAAAGTAGCAAATATTGTAATTATAATAAACTCTTGAGTTTTTCCTTTCAAAGGGTGAATATAAAAGAAAATCTTATAAATCAGAGTGGATTAAATGTATCTCTACTGCTTTTCCTCTTGATTTTTAAGGCTTATCAGAATCCTCTCCCACTGAGTTTATTGGTTACTTAGGAAAATGAGCTGAGCAAATGTTGTTTGAAATGAAAAAAAAAAATTGCTGATATTTCGACAGAATATATGGAATAAAATACTTTTGATCAGCCAGGAGGTTGTTTATAATCAGTATGGAGTGCTTACATTACAAAGGGCCACATGTTCCCAGTTGACAGCCTTGCAACTTCCTCCTCTGCAATTAAATGGTACACAGGAGCTGCAAAACATATCTGTGAGAGGCTGAAGACTGATCTGCTCTGTGAACTTCTGGCCTAGTGTAGAGTTGTCCTGGATTTTATAAGGCTCAGAGCAAGACCAGCTATTCAAACAGGGCAACTTGGCTACTGAGACCTGGATTGTGCAACGCATATTCAAACTGCCTCAGTGTATGGGAGAAGGACTGGTAACTTCCTTTTTAGAAATAGTGTCAACTTTGCAAAGGCCCATACTAGCCTGGCTTACAGTATCAGGATTTAGGACATCAATTTGGGATTAATCACAGAAAAGACAGGCATTCAGTTTCAAGCTAGTCAAAGAAGGCATGAATTCAGCAGGGAGCTTTAGGATAGGACTTAATCTCTACGTCATAATACATGCTAAGCTGCTTAAATGTATTTGGTGCAATTACATCCAATTAAGTAGTTGGAAATTAGGTTCCCTGTCTTCAAACATCATAGGACCCCTGCTCTACAAGAGGATTGGCACTGACTGGCTTGTGGAATTTGGTCAAGTACCACAGGTCCCACAGACTGCTCTCCAGATACCCAAAGGTTCATGTGCCCAACACCTGTTTGAAGATGGAGGCTTACATGGACAAAACAGAGATGTCTGCACAGTCTCACTAGGATGGAGAACATTCATGGGATGGTCATGTTGGTTTATGCCAAGGAGACATTCATGTCAGTCTATTTACTGACGAATCTGCAAAACTTCTCTTTAGCAAATGGACAGCTTTAGTGTGTGAACACAACTAAGATACTCAGTGCCCTTCTGTCACGAGTTCTGCATTTCTATAATTACAGACTTCACTCCTATATGCAGCCAGTCCTTTTACTAGCACTTTCAGTCTTCCAGGGGTTAGTTAACTGTTTTATTTTTTTATAAATAGGATTAATATATAAAATCTTTTTAAGTGCAAGAAGCTCAGAAAAATATAAAATGTTTCAAGCCTGTGGCTCTCTCCCAGACTTTTACTCATCTCACCAGATGAAGGAAACACAGAGGGATGCTTCCAAGCAGGCTTGTGAATTGGAGGACTGGCTATTTTTGAGAGCTATGAGAGCAGCCACCACACCCAACATAAGCTGAGAGCTTTTGTTCATATACACAGAAAACAAAGGACACACAAATTTGCTACTCCTTCATATGGGAAGATTGCACAGAAAGAGAAAATTGCCATCTTCCAGGGCACAGTGCATTTCTTGAACTGACATTCACGCGGTGTCTATAAACTGCTTGGTTGTGAGACTGAATACCAGGACTAAACGCTTAAACTCATTAGTTGATACTGGGGACAAAACGGTAGAACCACAGCCACACTTTACTACAAGCATTGGACTGTAGTACGAGGACGGTTTGAATGGCATTTCCCCCCCTCCCCCCGAAATACACACTTCAAACAAGAAAGTAGTCCAACAATTTTCTAAGACACAAGAACAGGACACGAGTTTAGTCCTTCAGAACAAGCTGTCTGTCTCCGTCCGGGTTGTAGCAGCCATCTTGCACCAGAAATAAGCCCGGGCTTTTTTTTTTTTTTTTCCCTTACCTCATTTCTGTTAGTATCCAAGGACCTCTCATTTCCGTGGTGGTTTCTGACTATATTTTCTTTCAAACATTCAACTTTTCTATTTCTTAGTGTTGCTGTGGCAGTCTAATGTCTTTTTCTTCTTGTTGTTGCAGTTTTCTCACTATTTCCCTGAACATCTGCAAGACAGCCCAGCTGGGTTGACACAGTGTGAGATGAGGCAGACAGGCATTGCCAACAAAGGGCTCCTACTGCAGTGAGTGGGCTGTTGAAATCAGATGTTTTCTAAGACGTCTATGGGGACAAAACCTTTCTTCTTCCCGCTGTATACTTTGATAAAGCCATCCTGTTCCTTTTCAGAAGTCACACAAATCTGAATACAAAGAAGGTATGAAAATATTAAACTCTTTGCTGTGATCAAAGAGACAAATTATTCCAGGGTATTTATCAGGTAGGTTCGACATCCCACTAGTTACTTCTATAAGTAGAACAATCCCTTTTGGACTCCCTCTGCTTTGATAAGAATCTCAGACTCATATATTTAGAGAGTTAACTTTCCCCTGTCTCCCTGAAGTGCACATATAAATGAGAGACATTCTTATCATTAAGAACTTGTGGTTGATAAAAGATTTTGAAACTTGATTTATGACTTCAGCCAACTGTAATGCTTATGCTTTAGTTGTCTGTGGTGTGAGAGGAACGGGTGGTGAAAAATAAACATGATGCCAAGGTGGGTCACTTGTAGCAGCTGATCTGAATGCAAACATATTCTCCTTTTGCAAGTTTAAGAAGCCCAGGTACTTCTCAGATGAGCAGTGGATAATGTTACTTATTCAGCCCTTGTGGTTACAGATGCCTGTTTTGGATACCAAAATGTGTGACCCAAATTCAGCTCTGTGAGTGTGTTTGTATGACACCTACTCCAAATGGAGGCAGTTGTTGTGAAATCATAGGGTCTTTACAATAGCACGAATATTACACTGTGGTAAAGGTTTTAATTTCCACCTTAAGGCCCTTCCTGAAACATCTGGTGATGGCCAAGCCATTTGAAAGCCTAATGGCACAGGTACTTTGGGGACTTGAGCACAGTGCCACACAAAATAAAGAATTGTTTTCAAACATCTGTGCCAAAGAACTATATATTTCCTACTAGTCAAACAAGGTTAAAATATAACTGGAAAACTGATGGTCCTAGTGAGACCACTCAACTCAATGATTTCTCATGATGCCAGTGCCAGCTTTCTATCTGGACTAGCACTCATCTCTGTCTGGTAAGTATTTACAGTGTTTATTTACAATAATTCAAAGGGTATGAAATTAATAAAAATAGCTCTGAAATGCTCCTGGGTAAAATCCATTTCAGCATGACTACTGGGGTGACACCTAAATACCTCATCTGAACTCTGGGCCAGGTTGTCCTGTTGTTACGTAAAATTTATTAACATCACTGATGCTGCCAGAGAGAAATGAAAGGTCATAAGAAGGAGGTGAAGCTGCTTCATATTTGCCACCTCCAGTATTTGGAAATAGTGAGGTGCATCTCTGTACCTGCAAACAAAGTTTTGGAAAATAAATGGACTCATTAATTTTCTTTCTTAATCTACCTACTCAACACTAACTGAATTAGATCCCTGGGGCAGAACGACTGAGCACACCAACAGGGCTGACATGCAATTAAAAAGAATAATGTATTATTGTATTATCACATGGAAAGCGTAGGAGAGGTATAGAATTGATGCTGCTTACTTTAGGTTCTGTTTCAAAACAGCAAAGCTTATTTGTGTCATGAATCCCCAGCACAGCATCTGCTTCCCTTGCAGTCACGTTGCCATTCAAAGCAGAGGTGTAAAGCACATGAACACAAAAAGGAGTTTCTGATTACTGCTAAGTGTTGTTCTCTGTCTCTGAGAAAGACTATAAAAACTGCAACAATGACAGAGAAAGCTGGCAAAGAAGCACAAGACTAAGGATGGTCAAGTATGGCAGACTATCCAAGGGTGGGAAAGAGCATCAGTGGCAAGATGCCCCTCTCAGCTGATCCCTACTGCTCAGAGCTTTTGCAGCTTCTCCATAACTAGACCTGGCTGGATAAAAGAAATACCTCACTCCATCACTGTGCTTTTCTCCTAACTGAAGATGTCTACAAAACATCTAACTTTTTGCTAGAATACTCAAAATAATCACATCACAAGAAGGTCTACGGTGTTCACTAACCATGCTGCATTTTTTTGTTTAATCTCTCTTGTGCTGTGCAGAACATACTGCAAGAACAGAGTGCTTTTCCCTGCCGTCTTGTATTGTCAGCAGAATGATTTGTGGACAAAAATACTGATCTTTCCAAACACTGATTTTCTTTATTTTGTATTTTTGGAGTGAAAAATTATGGCAGATTAATTCTTTTCCCAGTGATTTTTGTTTATTTGTTTGTTTGTTTTTTCTTTCTTTTCTTTTCCCTGGTTCTTCTGCTGGTTTGAGCACTCCTTGAGTGAGAGTGCTCTGCTACAGCAATAACTTTAGATCTTCACTGGGCATGAGGAGTACAATGTCTTTACGTAAGAAGTTCTCTCACTCTACCTACTAATATATAGGTCTGAATTCTCTCAAATTCCAGCTGAAATTCTCTCACACTGAGATATTAAGCCCTGTATGTGTCAGACCCCAGATAGTAGAGGTTTTTTCCCTCTACTTTCTAAGGAAGGGGAAGTTTCAGGGGCAGAGTGAGTTTGGACACAACATGCCACACTTCCATAATCCTGTGCAGCTCAGGAGGTATCCTGGGCCTATGACAGCTGCTGGAGTTTTGCAAAGACCTGGAGCCGCTCCAGATTCTGCAGTATCAAAAAAGAGTGAACACAACACCATCTTTGACCACTTCTGCTCTCATCCTTATTTATGAATGCTGCCAAGGATTTCACCCTCAAGTTGTAGCCTGGGGATTTGGCTCTTGACTTTCTTATGTGGGTAACGTAACCTCACATGAGTTCCTGGTAGCATCCAGAGTTTTGGACTCCACCTGATGAAGCAGCTGTTGTTGAGGATTAGCGCTGATGACAGGTGGCAAAGATGATGGTTATGAAGGCATAAGGTACCACAGCTACCATCAGGTGATAATGGTTTTCTGCATAAAATTGGAAAGTTCAAATGGCACCTACTCAGGCTGATATGTTCTGGGAGGAAAGCTGTTGGCCTGACAAGAAAAGTGAGCCAGAACAACCACTCTCCAGTGAATTTGAACACAAATGGAGACAAATTGTTGGGTTTTTCCCCTCTGCACTCTGGCTCAAGAGATTAGTAATGAAAAAAGCCATGGGGTAAGAAACAACAGCTTGGCCTATTTCTCACTCAGTAAGTGATCTTTGGAACTATTTGAAAGTGGGATCTAATATTATAAAGTCAGTTCCCCATTTTTTCATCTCATTTTGTTTAAAAAATACCTAAAACACTCAAAACAAACCAAACAACTGTTCAGATCATGACTGTTGTCTGAACTTGTCAACATCTGTCCTGAGAATTTTTTATCAGGTGATAAAAAAGCCCTGAGCAGGTGTGGCACATAAACAATTAAGAAATGATCCTTTAAGTTGCATGGTCATTAGTACTTTCCTGTTCTTTGAATTTGGGGTCAAGTGGCCAATTCTCTTTGCCTGGGGGTAATTTTGAATTTGCCCTAATTTTCTACAGCTGCCTTCTCTTCTTTCTTCCATATACTTAAGCCATCTATCAGCCATAGAATGGTTCTGGTGAAGTAGGAACTTGGTTATGAGGACAGTACAGTTTCAAGAGCTGTCCTGCGGTCTGCAAACAGTGCCAGGTCAAGAGGTCTGTAAGTTAAAGTCTTTTTGTAAGAATGACAGCACAGGGACACTGTGAGTTTCTACATCTACTGCTGCCAGTGCACTGAAGTTCTTGCCTATGTGAGCTTTGTGGATAGAAATGATAAGCAGTTCAGTTTTCATACCCATTCAGTCCTAATGCAAATGATGATGACAGATTTCATTAGACTTCATATGACATGTTTCAGTAGACTTTGTTTTTAAAGAAGACCTGGACTAAACGTGATGCATAATGTCCTGTGTCCCTTGTGTGAACTATTGTAAATTTTGTGTGCCACTCAGTATCTCCGAATGAGTGGGGACACCCATCTCTGCCCAGCAATACTGACGTCAATGGAAATCAGAGGTAGCTGGAAAAAGACACTGTTCCCTTTTAGCCTAGCTGTGAAGTGCAGCAGTTACAGCTGGGGAGCTGACGAAGAACTGCAACATCAATTTCAATGCTGAGTTTAGGTAATTTAATCCTAAGGCATAAGTCACTGTGATGAAACTGATTTTCAGAGGCAGCTGACTCTTGCTCTTAGAAGTTCAGCTTCTTTTAGAATATCCAAGAATATGGGTACATAAAGTACCTCCTAGACAATGAGGTGAAAAGCCAGGTAGCAAGAAAGCATCCAGACTTTTTTCCCAGGTCTGTAGACCCAGCTTGCAATCCTGCCTTGTTAAGCCTAGCCTTGTGGATATGTTTAAGCTCATTCCCAAGCTCTCCTGGTGGCTGGATCATATCTGCACATAAAAACACTTTCTGAAATTCCTGTGTTGGGGTGTTGGGGTAAGAGGGAAGCTTGTCCCCTGAACTGTGTGCCAAGGGGACAGCAAGGCTGACAGGTCTGGTTTGGAGATCGTAGCCATCACAAGAGTAGTAGACTGTTTGGTGTCACTGCAGAAACTGGTTAGGAGATGCTTTCACCAGTAGGGCTAGTTTACATCAGTGACATTAATAAATATCCATCACAAAATGGATCTGTTGCACTGACTTTTATATAAACTCACAGTGCACATCTGGATGAGGCAAAGAGCTTCTGATTCTCAGCCTTGGTACAAATGCTACAGTTTGGGGTAATTTCTATTGCACAAGATCATCACTTGTGCAAATAAAAATCAATTGTGTTATTTAATCACAAAAAGCCCAACTCTAAAGTTGTTTGTATGAGTGTGACTGTAGATGTCAGAGGCAGCCAGAAAAAGGTGTGAGTAGGTTTTTTTGAAAGATTATTTCCTTTCTTTAAGTAGGATAAGAGAAGTAAAAACAGACATTCAAACAGTGGATTATTGTGACTTCGTTACAAATGAGGATGACCAAAATGTTAAAAACATTTTACAAGGTGTTTTTCCAAGTATTGATGATATACTGGATATTGGGCTTGTGAGACAGTCTAAAACAGTGGAAAGCCACAGAAATTGGCTGGATTTGGTTTCCCTGTCAATAGTCTTGCTTTAATGATGTCAGGAGCTATGTCTGCCTCCCTCCCACAGATTCCTGATTGAGCCCTGTGGTGCCCCAATCTTCTGAATAGGTTTTAGAACTCACAAATCTGTCTTGGAGTCTCTGAAGCAGTACACTCTTTCTCATATTTCATAGTGAAATTTTCAAGGGATCCTTTGTGAAGACTAGCTTGTGCATATTGCTCAAGATGGGTGAGAAAATTGTGTTTTTTCTTCAGTCCTTTGTTGAGTATTGGCTTTGCCAGAAAGGTTTGTATGAAGCTGAAATTCAAAATTTTATTTCCAAGGCAGGAAACTGCCAAGTGATTGTAGAGAAAGTCTCACTTACTGTGCCTCAAACTTTGAAAAAATCTCTGCTTGCCTAAAATAGCTTTTCTTAAGGTAGTCATGTGTCTTTGTTGACGTGAATATATTGCTTTAACCTTACAAGAATAGACTGTGTATCTGGGAACATTCATATAAGGCACAAAGGGAATAGAGACCTGCAGTATAAACCATGGATGGTAACAAGCAATATAAAGAAAAACCATGTTATTTTCACTGGATAATTTTTTCTGGTCAAATATCCTCCTTGCCTTTGTTGTCAGAATGGCTCTAGACTCTTGTCAGACCACACGGAAATTGACTCAATGAATTAACAATAAAATTGGGTCGATTTGCTGTACTCTAGTCACAAGAATTTATTAGACCAGCTAATGAGTTTTTCCAGGTAAAGTGAGACTTGACAGGAATTGGTAGCAATGAATAAATCTCCCCTTTTTGCTAATCTGGAAGAAGTCAGTGCTTTGCACGTAGCAGATACATTGCATTCACAGCACTCTGGACTCTGCCCAGAGACAGGTAAAATGGCTAATGACATCCCACAGAAATTCCCAGTAGAACAAAAACAAACAAAAAAAATTCTTCCAAAGTTTTCTCACAAGTCCCATTCAGATGACTTCTTTTTTTTATATACCTTTCCCTATTGCACTTTTATCTCTGTTTCATATGGAGAAATAAAGGACAGAATATAAAATAAATTACTTAAAAAGAAGAAAGGAAATTTGACTTTGGAAATATAACATACATTTTTAAAGTCATGAATTCCCAGTAACAATTACAAAATGTTTTTCACAATAAGAGTTTTTCCAAAGTGAAGGCAGAATTGCTCCATTAAAAAAAAAAAAAGACAAAAATCTTATACTGTGTCGAGGGACAGTAGGAAGTAGATGAGAGCCCATGGCCTCGTTGTGACTATCCCATCTGGAAATTACTCAAAATGGCCTTTAAGCTACTTAAATGTATCCCTTTCGCGTAACTTGTGTGAGAGTGGGGAGCAATCAGTTCGCTGCACTCCTTTCCCCTCATGTCCCTGCAATCACGTGTTTGTGCAGTCTGATCTCTGCCCTCTGTTTCACAACAAATATTTATTTCTTTCTTCCTCTGAAACTTCTCTCATGTGGAAAGAGCACCTGACAGTATTCACATTCAACCTCAGAATTTGTGTGGGCTTGCAATAGAGCTGAAAAAGTTTACAACAAATGAGGAGGTAGTAGGCAGACAAGATGCATTCATCCCTTTCTTTACCTCCTGCCATGCCGGAGATGATGAGGCACCCCTGACCTCAAGCTCCCTTGTGAGCCTGTTATGAAATAGGGACAATAGGAAGGTCCTTGTGTTTAGATGAAGCTGCCAGACTTGCCTACTTGGAAACTGTGGCTTTGTGACAACTGAGGAAAGAAACTGGGCTCTCGCTGCTTGCAGCAGCAGCCACACTAACAGAGATGATCTGGTGTGCCCGCTAATGAGAAGGGACCCAGATTTTGACCATTTCCTCATGTTGACATGCCATATTCCAACACTACCATTTCCCTAAGCTTTGCCCTTCTGTAATGCTTATTCTAGAACACAAAGCCTGCAGAAGCCCTTGTTCTGATATGGTAATATTTGGGTTCTGAGATATATAGATATATAAATTTATATATATATACACATCAAAAGAGGTGTTGGGTAAAAAGAGTTTAAGAACCTTCTCTCTTTCTAGCAACTTTAGGGCTGCCCAAAGTACTATGCATATAGGGGCAGTCAAAATATAGTCTGGTCACTGCATTGCTGTACCTTCCTTAAAAACCTGTGTAAACCCAAGGATTGTTAGCACCTGTATGTTTTGCTATGCCCAAGACAGCAGCAGCAAAGATATAAGTTAATCTTATCTGACAGTGCAGTGAAGTAGTACAGAAGTTCTGCATGCAAAATCTATGGCCCTGAAGTCCACACTGATTCTGACTCATGTTCTACTTTATTAAAAACAGGCAAACAATTACCGGTGAGGACACATCAGTTGCCAAAGGAAAAGAAAGATCCAAACAGGTGGAAGAACATCAGGTTTCACAGGGTGCATTGATAAAAATCTAGCTTTTTATTACATCCAGGTGTCAAAGAACTCAAGCTGTGTGTCATCCTTAGTCAGCCATCCTCCTATTTACATGAGCTTAATGCAGATTTTGGGTTGTGGCCTTTGCCTAGTGAACGCGCCTGAAGGACACAAAACAGAAGGAGCTGCTGAAAATACACCAGGGTGAATGGACCCCGCAAGACCTCACTGTATGTGGTGTAGCTCATAGCAGCACTTATAGTTTAGAATATATTATAGCCTGTAGAGAGGGTATGCAAGTGGTGACACAAAAAAATTAATGATTAAATACAGTTTGCAGCTGGTGAACAAGAGTTAGATTTAAGATTCACAAGTTGGTGTGATCTTGTCTTAATTCTGTTCCTGCTGAAGCCAAACCCATGACCTGTGTTTAGATTTTTAGGTAAGTTAAAGTTTGGGGAGGGAGCCCCTGTCTTTTATTAGATCAGCTCTAATAATGGGGAGAAAAGCAGAACATTTTCAGGCACACAAGGCCTTCCACTAAGACTGTGTGTTTGTTAAACTGTCGCTCTGAGGGGTAGTAAGAGAGTGCATAATATACAAAGGGTCATTATGAACGTTTGTGAGACTGAAAAGTTTGGCTATATTAGTGTGGTGGGTCAGGCTGAGCCAGAATTTATTTCCCCATAGTAGCCCTCACAGTACGGAGTGTTGCACAAGGCAAACACTGCTCTTAACTGGCTACTAGACACAATTGCCATGCAAATAATAACTCTTCCAGTAAAACTGCAGCGAAAAGAATCTGCCTGTCCTCATCTTGCACAATTTTTCCTCCAGTCATTGATAAGACTGCTGGATGCTCTGGTCCGCTGAGGATCCAGCACAGGGGATCTTACCTGGTTTTCTTTCAGAGTTATCTGTCCCTGTTCCTTGCAGCCAATGAATGTCCTGATACACCTGTAAATCTTCTCATTTTGTTCCACTCTTTGAACAAAGTTAGCAGGAAAAAATCCAGTTCTGTCATCAATTCTTCCCTATGGAGAAAATGTATTAATAGAAGAGAATAGTTAACACCAGAAGCTTTAATGCAAGTTCACAATTGAAAAGAAGACATTTTTCCCTGTGGAAAGAAAACAGATATAAAATAATTAGCACATACCTTCCACCAGTCTTCATTAGAGTCTTCCAGAAGAGTGATCATGTCCCCTGGCCTGTAATTAGAAGAGGAATAGTAGTTGACTCTTAATCGCCATGATGAAAATATTTCATAATTCCCTTCTAATAAGAAGGTGTTTCTTTAATGGTTATTTTTTTCTGAGCATTCATTGCAGGTAGACTTAATGAGGTGGCAAGGTTTTCTTCAGTCATACATGTAAATGTAGAATGAAAGTCTCTGTATATTGAGGCTAGATCTGTTTTGAGACAACAACTGTGAACAGGAAGTTTTGCTTCCTGTTTAATAAGAAACTGTCCCTATTTTTTACAGGCATTATCTTTTTACTTGAAGACATTTGTTGGGACACACTACTTCATCATCTGTGTTTTCAAGCTGTGATTGCAGAAGGAAGGCAGCAGGAAAAGAGTTCTATTTAGCTGACAAAGGCAATTAGTCAGCAGGGATATAATTCTGCCCAAGAATGTCTTCTGGATTCGAATGGGATATATTTACCTTTCTAATGTGTGGTGCTGGGTTGTAATTGCTATGTATCAGCATCCAGCTGGCTAGTTCCAAAGCAGATCTAGAAGAATAATTTGACTGGAAACGGTGATAGCAAAATGTGCTGGGCTGATTTTGTGCACGTAGCTGAACGGTTGTTTGACCTCTTTCCCCCCATTGATGGAACTCCACCATTATTATGTAATTATTATAGCGATGTGTTGTAGAGAGTAAGTGGCAGCTCTTTTCCAAATGGATTAACCTCAGAACACTCTGTCTGCTTGATAACTTCTTTGATTTTAATAAAATTAATGGCTGAGCCCTAATTATTCAGCCTTCCTTGCATTCCCTCTTAGGCTCACTGTATTGTTGAGGCATCAGCACAAGAGCCTGCAAACACATCTGGAGCATATTATGGATAACAGGTCCAATTTAACAGGTTATTTCAGAGCATGCGTAAAAAATGTGGATCTGTCCAGGATGCAGCTGGAGGTGGGGTCAGTGGTGGATCTCTTTGGTCCACCTCCCAAGGGGTTATCATTGCTGCTATAACTGGAGAAGTGGACATTTAGTCATCTAACACCATGCAATCTGAAAGAGTTTTTCAGCTTTCACCAAAAGATGCTTGAAGATTTTCCTCAAGCCCTCCTCAAGAACCTCTTTCAATGTGTTTGGAAGAATAAAATATTGCTGAGGTGAGAAAGGAAGCTAGAGAAAATGAATAACTTAGTATACCAGTGGTGAGTTTGGTTTTTTTTTTTTTCCACGGGAAAGGACATGAGACCTCTATTACAGTTAATATTTAACATAAAACACTCAAAGAGGTTTTAAGGGAACCCATGACTTCAAAGTGAATAGACTGTAACATAACTGAAGCTCTTACACTGCAAGGAAGAACACTTTTAAGATTTAGAGAGCCCCATCCACCCAGTACTCTGCAGCCTGGTTGTTAGAAAGATAACCTAGAAAATATAAAGGTATTTGACTGTCAGAGAAAGATGGCAACTGAACCTAAAGTCTTTCCATGTCCCTGGTCTGAGCACTGAGATTTTTACATTTAAGACCTGCTGATTTTGCTTTCCATTTTTTTTTTTCCGCACTGAACTAATATAGATGGCTATAAACTCCAAGAAAGGATTCAAAATAGAAATCCTTGCTGGACCTATATTGCTTTTGCTGCCTAGATTTAGTCTGCTAGTCTCTGAAAGAGGGGGCGACCTGCTTGATGCTTACTACTGGTTGAAATCACTCTGAGGTCCCATCTTTTTCTTCTGTAAATTACAATCCTGAATAAGTTATCTGCTCTACCTCAGTGATGAAGATTTCAGGAGGTGGTAAGATAGGCTGTCATGTAGGCTCCTTCTATTCTATTCTATTCTATTCTATTCTATTCTATTCTATTCTATTCTATTCTATTCTATTCTATTCTATTCTATTCTATTCTATTCTATTCTATTCTATTCTATTCTATTCTATTCTATTCTATTCTATTCTATTCTATTCTATTCTATTCCATTCCATTCCATTCCATTCCATTCCATTCCATTCCATGTCTGGATGAGGATGGTAGTCCAGTGCAGGCTTGTCTGAGTGTGTTCTGCTTAATGGAAAAAAACTTGCAAGTTAGAATACGCTCCTAGAGGAGCAGGATGCAAAGTGGAATCCCTCAAGCAGAATAGCTGTCAAGTTGCACTAAAGGTTACCGTACACTGTGGTTATTTCTTGAAGAGCTGACATTCCTAAATTAACAAGCAGGAAATGCCAGCAAAGCAGAATAATATGAAAGCTTGTAATTTCTTCCTTACATCCCACACTTTAGTTCTAGAGAGATTAGAAGGCAGAGCTGGAAACAGGAAAAAGGCTTTCAGTGAAGGAGATGCTGACGACAGGGGCATTTATCTGCCAGTTCCCTAAATCCTGTGGTATGTACATGATTATTTTGATATAGGGGATGCATTGAAGAGAGTTGACATGCTTCATGACAAGAACTCTAGTAAGACCATGCAAAATGTGAGTAGCATGAGCAAATTAATCTCACTGAAAAAAAAAAAAAAAAGATGTCCTTTCCCTTCAGTGGGCTTGGATTAGACCTTGTAATGCTAGCAACTGATGCAGAACTGAGAAATTAAGTACTAAAAATAAAAATAAAAATAAAATATTTTGCTAAGCTCAGGATATGTCTTTCTTGTGTGAAAACACTGCCATTCAGCAGCTGGACATCATTCCCTTTTCTCAGACATAACCTGAATATGAGGGAGGATCAAACAGGACTGGTAAAATGTTCAGCATTAGCATGAGAGCTGGTGATGAATTCCTATTTGAAAACTTCTGATTGAAAAAAAAAGCAACTGAAACCAGAGCATTTTACATCTGAAAGTCATCTTGCTCCTGAAGTGACATAAGTGTTTTAAGTCCTTGCCAGAACAGTTTTTTTAACTGTAAGAATATCTTTGTATCTACAAGTGGATACCTCTATAAAAAATGTTTATTAAAAACGTCAGAGCAAAGCCTTCCTTCCCCAAAGTCATATGTAACTGTATGACCATGAGTTTGCATGGGTCAAATCAACTAACAAATATTTTGGGGTTTACCTCATCTCCAAGTCTTCATTTTCTTGTGGTACAAATTTGTACAAGGCAACATAGGTGTTCATTTGTAACGTGCTTTTATAAAATGGTCCCTTCAAGAAAAAAGAGAAAGAGAAAATTTAAATATCTGATCTGTACAGGAATTTGATTCACTTTGTTAGACATGGAGGAACCAGGATCTTACAATAAATTAGCCAGAACCATCTCACTTGTTTCACAGGGTGGAGGACTATAGCCCAGGTACATTGCGGGCCATTAAGGCAGTAAAAATCTTCATTTAGAAATAAGATTATTTATACCCCAAGATCAAACTCCAGGCTTCCAAAGAACATAAGCAGAAATCTGCACAAGCTGGCCTTCAGGGTGAAATCTTAAAAACAACTTTGCCTTTTGCTCTCTGCAGTCTATGGCTCTTATGAGCCCAGTAGTGTATTATTGGCATTATATAAGGTGTCTATTATACATTCTCATTAAGGATGGAGATAGAATCATACAGTGCACGGATCCAAAAGCTGGGGTACAAAAATCACTTTCTTGAAGTGATTTTAATGTGTAAAAGCTTTCTGTCCTGGGCTTTCCACAGAGAAGATAAGCTACTCTTTCTGCTCACTTTTTCCACTATTAATCTGGTGGAAAAAGAAAAAAAAAAAGGCAGCTAAAATAAATATCAAATAATTTTCAAAATCAAATCTGTGGTTTTTTATGTTACAGAAGTTCTATTGTAATTACATGGCCTCCACACTGGATCTTTTGTATTCACAACATCAACTTGCAATAAACAGAAAAACATAAAAATGACCAAAAAGGGTAAACCAAAAAGCCATTCAGTACTGTGTATTGCTTCCATCTGTGGCCAGTGGCCCATAAATGGTGTTAGAACACGACAGTCAGATATCAGTGCCCCAGCAGACCTACTCAAGGTCCTCAGACAGCTATAAAAACAAAACTTTTGTGTGACTTCCCATTCCCATTGCATTTGCACAAAATTTATGCTCATACCGGGGAATGTATACTTTTTGGTTCTTCTCCAAAGTGTTCTGTGCCATTTTCAGAGTATGTAAACACTGAAATAAAGCAAACACGTGGCATATTAGGAGTAGTTTCAGACTTTGCACCTCAACAGTATCACCTAGATTTTTTTTGATCTCTTTGCTTTCTCCCTTATTTTCTTTAATTCCTTGTGCTCTCCTCTGAACCCTTCTACACTCCTAACAAAACCACGTATCCTGCTGGCATATGACACAATACCCTCAATAATTTATAATTGTAAAAATAAATAATTTTGATCAGATGATCATACACAAGTACATCACTAGGAACAGAACCTAGGTACTCTAAGTGCATTACTATTTAAAGTCCAGCAGCCTTTTTCTCACATTGAATACTGTGTTTCCATTATCAGATAACCAGTATTTCTATTTAAAAGCACCTGCGAAACCCGATGACAATATATGAGCAATATTAAAGTAGGTTTGCATGCCAGACTCCTTCTTTCCCCTCTTCGTCCTCTATCTCTAAATGTTTGATAGCCTTCTTTGATCCCTCTCTCCAGCAGTCCATGCCTGGGCTGCACTGGATATGCTGCCTCTCTCTAATTTTACAGGAGGTATCTGATTTGTTTTCAGACCAGGAAGAGTAAACTGAGGCACATTTTCACCTGTATATGTGAAAATTTTCTTCTAAGTTTCTAAATCAGAATCTCTTAGAATAAGATAGGAGTCACAGCACCTAACCCATCTCATATCTAATTGGTTACTCTCTATTGTAACTGATTCATGAGTTGTGCTGAGTTATCTCACTAGAAAAACCACAGTGGCTTTATCGTGTTGACTGAATTCCCCCTTCATATTTTAAGAACTGCCTGGAGTTTCTTGCTTCTGGATAAAGTCTGAATATGACTTTACTAGCTGGAGTTTTTGAGCATCTAGAACCATCAGTGTCTTCTCCCACCATGTATGTCTGCAGGTATTTCGGGCAGGTGCTGGATTTTGTAGTCTCCAGCAATTCAGAAAAAATAACCAAAGTGGTGATAAGTATCAGGCTGACTGAGCACATTTTCTTTTTGTTTCTCTGTCATACAATTATATGCATTCAGGGGAAAGAAGCTCCACAGAACACCAAACCACCAAATTCTTCTCCTCTGCTCTTTCAGTTGCTCACCCTTTCTTCCATTAACACTTATTTCTGTGACTATTCTACACTGTAAATGACAACCTATAGGGAGCCCCTGGCAGTCTAGTGGTTAAGGACGCGGTGCTGTCACCGCCGAGGCCCGGGTTCGATTCCCGGTCAGGGCCCCTCCCCGGGCAGATGGAGCTCGTTAGCCCTGTAAGGCAATCCATCTACGTCCTGAGGACCTCGTTGCCACCGTCCAAGTTTGCTTGGCCCCGGCAGATGAACCTCAGGATTAAAGGGTGGGCTCAGTTCCGCGCACACTGTGTCTCACCTAAAAAATCCAATGCGCAGGCTGGAAGGTGTAAAGGCCCTCCCCGGTTCTTCGTTCGCGAAGACTGGCCATTATTATAAATGACAACCTAACGGAGATTCTGTGAAGAAGCTTTATGTGGGAAGTAGTAGGGTTCTTTGACAGTAGAGAGTTGTACTTTAACATTGAAAACCAAGATAGAATGTCTGTTCTATCTTGTAACAAATAGAACAAATATGCTTCTCACCAAGTCCTGCAGCAAAGGCACTCCTGAGCCTGCAGACTATCACAAATACCGGAGAAAAACCTTACAAACAAACCTAATTTCCTGTATCTTTAATATAGGGGTACATGTATGTCTGACCTCTGTGTGAAGGGATGTAAACTGCTTCCATTACAATTTGGCAGCGTTTAAATCCTTCTCAAATTACTATGCTTTGTTTATCACATCCAAAGGAAAGGGAGTTAGGGAGGCAAATTAAAGGTGTTCTGGTGAATACTGAGTTGGGTAGCTAGCAGCAGGACTGGCAGAATGTAATTTACCAGACAAAGTAGAAGTATCACAGCTTTGTAATTGGGTGTAATTGGAGTAATTTCTGCTTGGTGAAAATAAAGCCAAGTTATTCACGTACAGCCCTGTGAACTGTGGAGCTGACCCAGCAGGTGGGGAAGGAACTGAACTGTATCCTTGTGTTTGCTGAGAAGTGCTCACCAAACCTGTGTTTGCAGGGGGGGCATCCCATATTTGACTCAAGGGGAAAGTGCTTAAATCCCTGTAGATCACAGGCTCATACATGTCACCTAAAATACATTTTGGCTTGTGGGGCTTTTGTTACAGATGGCAATTCATGGCAGTGAAAGAGTGTAACTGGCTTAGAGGAGGCTGAAGGGCTAGAAATCAGGGTATGCCATCTCACAGTTGTAAACTGGGAAGCTTTGCTTCATAGGATGTATGCTAGGTCCCAAATGAAAGAATCTGCCCTTGAAGTTGTTGTCATAGGAGTCTACGGGAGCAATTACGTGGCCATAGATGTACTGGGTCCTTTCACCCTTCTGCAGGCTGTGTCTTTGCTGCCGTTTCCCTTTACCAAAGAGTATCAAAGGTACCTTTTCTAAATACTTATTTACTTATTTACAGAAGAGAGTATTTTAGCGGGGGGGGGGGAGAGATGACAAAAAAAACCCAACACAAAACAACCCAACTGGAATGGACCTGAGTCATCAAGACATTAATGTGGCACTGCCTGATAAAGAGGCAGTGGACAACTGAGGGAAAAGGAGTCATGAATCATCCTGTAACAGCATTTTGAATTTAGTCTGTTAAATTTTTAATCTATGTTTAGGTCATGATTTCTGGATATTATTAAGAGGCACTTGAATCTGAAAACCACAGAGGTATGTAGTTCATATCTCCACACAACAGAAATCCATATATTTTCATATTTGTTTGCCCTAGCAGCAGTAGACAAAAAAAGAAAAAACCCAGGATTTTTTATACTCTGAAAAGGATTTTACCATTTTCATAGCCTGTGCAAACAGTGCAGGCAGTTTATTAAAAATCTACCAAGAGGAAATTTTTGGAGTGACTGATGCATAATTTACACCCTGAGCCTCTGAAGGATGGATTGTAAAAAAGCCAGTGCTGATCAAAGGAATCGTTAATGTGCCGCGGAAGTTATTTGGAGGTTTGACACATGCTGAGTTTTTAAACTAATCTCTTTAAGTAAGTTCCTTGAATGCCTTTCAGTGCATTCAGTGAATACTGATCTCAGAGAAAAAAATTTTCTTTGGGTTTCAGAAATGAAACTACTGACTAACAGAGAAATAAAAAGTTATCAAAAAACTCAGACAGGGTCAATTTAATCTCAGGTGGGCAGGATTAAACAATGTGATGGATGCTGAATTCTATATCTTTAAACAGGTCGGGTCAACTTGAAGTTGTAAGAGAGAAAACCTAGAAAAATTGTCAGGAGAAATCAGATAACATAGAGGAGATGTTCACGAAATGAGAGGAAAAAGAACCGAACAGAGTGAGGAAAGGTGATAGGACCAAGAAGGGAGGAAAGGAACAAAAAGATAGCATAATATAGGAATGGACAGATGAACCTGGCATTTCACCTACATCAACTGGTAGCTTCACATAAGTAGCACTGGGGGTGCTATGAAGAAAAAGCTGTACTCACTATGATTTTTTTCTGTAGTGTACATATTGTGAGATTCAGCAAAACAGACTTCAGGTGCTGCTACAGAAGTTACTCTGATGGTTTGGGCCTGAGGTTTTACTTAGCAATAACCCTTTGCGTTTATGACTTCCCTCACCATGACCCAATTCAAGAACGGGATCACAAACCCCAACTTTTGGTGGCTCAGATTTCATTACTAAGCTCTCGATTGCTGTGATGGTCTTTAAATGTCATCATACTAAGGCTGTAAAAACATCACTTCTGCACTTCAAATCAAACAAAGGTATTGGGCCATTAATATTACTGGGGGCACACTATAGTTGTACTGAGAAGTTGCAATTATAATCAAAATTCATTGTGTTGCATATTTTACAACATATGGACATATGGATATTTTATGATTCATTTTCTGTCCCAAAGAGATTATGGTATACAAAATAATGCAGAAAAAGCAAACATATGGAAAAGAAAGAAAATATTATTTTTATTCCACTGTGCCACTGTGGAACTGAAGCACATTAAGTGGTTAGTCTACAGTCATGTTCATGAAGTAAAGATAGTAGACAGAGATTGAACCTTGTTCAGTTTCACCTCTGGACACACCAAACTGAGAAAACTGGGACTTGAATTTCATCTCAGTGGCAAAAAACATTCCCCAAATACTTGCACAACTCAGCTCCTGCTTTGAAAACCGGAATGCTGCTAAAACATGGACATGCCACAGCCTCCCATCTGAAATAGTTTGTACAAAGGCCTATAAACCAGAAGATGTTGTCCTGGTCTGGTTGCACTCACCACTGTTGCTGCGTTTCCTGCTTATGTCAAGGGTGCCTGCAGAGCTATTGCCTTCCTCCGGAACTTCTACTAGGTCAGCTGTCTGCAGGAACAGAAAGAGTAAATGAGAGAGGATGAGCCAGAAAAAGTGACCAATGAAGTGAAATAAAATCACAGTAAAGAGTCCTTGGGAAATGCAGTACTTGGCTGCTATCAGAGCAGAGCAAGTCAGCCTAATGGGATCGCAGAAAACATTGGGTCTAGTGATGCACAACACATATCTACTTCACAGGGAGCAGTAAAAGCCTGGAAAAAAATACTCCAGACCAAGTTTGCAATCTGGAGTACAAAAGATTTCTGCAGTATAAAATGAAGTGAAAGTTAAGGAACAAAGGATTATGTTAAGCAATGCGGTTCTCTGTACCAAATAGAAAAAGCTTGAGGGAATTTGCAGATTCTGAAGGTATACTAAATGGTTACCTACCAAGGAGAGTGGACATTAGTTGAAACTATTGAATATTAATATATTAGCCTTGAATATATTATCCAGTAAAATAACTGTAATATAAGGGTTGTTTTAATTCTGTTAAAATCCTGTAAAAGAAAGAGCTGGGGTGCCATGGAGCTGATGAAGTCAGCCTTTCAATATCTGCCCTCACTTTCTTTTTAAACAGTCATCTGGCTGGTATGATTAGGGAAAAATGAAACCCAAATGTTGTTGTTAGAATTACTATGATTTCTTACTTGTACCACATTAATGTCAATCATGATTAGGGACCCAGTGTTCTAGAGTGTAGAAAAACGTGGGATGACATAATCTTAAGCCTCAGAAGTATACTCTGCACAAGGCACCAGATTCCTTGGTTGGGTAGTCAGCTTCTCCTTGTACAGCCCAACAGGAGCCAAGAGCTGCTCCAAACAGCTCTACCCGAATCTGACCTTAACAAAACTTCAGTTACTGAACTCTCTACATCTTTGGTAACCATAAAAAACCCAAACATTGAACTTGAGTCAGGTGCTTGCTCTAATCTGAATAACTATAAATTCTGACATGCTCCTAAGCTTTATTTATTTCTTGTTAACAGTATTTTAAGACACATGAAGGATCTAACTTCATTATTCCATGACATTTGTACTATACACATAGCTCTCTCTATTGCTTTGGAGACCTTTTCCTGCATCACAGAAAAAAAAGCAGGATGAGGAACATTCACTGCTTTCATTCAGGGAGCCCAATCTGAATTGCATTATAGATTTTATATGTTGGATTTTTTTGCTTTTACTAGTGTTGACAACAAAGCTTTTTTTAGAAGGTAATTTCACTACTTTATTTCTCCTATCTAGTATTTTGCTAGCTACTTCTCCATTCAAGGAAACTAATGAACAAAAAGGTTGAAAGTAGACTTGTGCCTCAGGTGTCTTGTGGCTATCCTGTTCCACTTGCTGTATTAAGAGCCTTCTACTTTACTGCTCTGTTGCTCCTTTTTTTTTTAGATTCAGCCTTTTGCAGCAGGTCAGCCTTACCTTATGTCTTGCACAAAAGGGTCATCCCAGGATGAGAAGGTACTGCTATAGCAATGTTAGCACAGAGTCAGTGTAAAGCATATCTATGGATTTCTAGTTGCTGGATGGAGAAAAGAAAGACTGGCTTTCTTGAAATAGTAAATCCCAGATATTTTTCAGCTCCTTGCTATAACATATTCCTCAGTCTTCATAGACTATCTTCATAACTGCTGATTAACTTCATATTTTGTTGGGTACTACTGCATATGGGATGTGTAGTTACTGTTTCTTCAGGATATGCCTCATCCAAAACTTTCTGAAATAACCTCATTACTTTTAATTATTTTTCAGTCAAGAGTTATATGACAAATAATCTAATAGAAATGGTAGAGCTACGAAGCTGCTTTTGATAGGAGCTGATGTACAAAAAAATAACAAGAACTGGATTCACATTTACATCACCTCAAATGCCTTTCTGTATAAATGTGGGTTGCAGAAGCACAGTTTTAATGCAAGCAGTAGGTAGTAAATCTGGAGCATATGGCCCCTTTCTTTTATGGGAAATGCAGAATCCGGGCTGAAAAATCACAGTGCGTACATCCACACTGCTCAGTCATGTTAAAAATACCTTGGCTAATTCAGAGGAAGATGGTTATCTCTATTTTCTGCAGAGACATGAATTCCATGCAGTCTGGAATCTTGATGGCTGTAGGGGCAAGGCACAGATCCCTGGCTAATCACCTTTGCTTTTAACTACCTTCAGCAGCAGCAGCAGGTATGCTATACTGACTCAGAGCTTGGCCTTTGGCAGCTTGGACATCACCTGTGAGGCAAAGTAGTATCCTAAGTATCGCCACAACCCTGGTATCCCTAATTTGGTGATGCTGCAGAACCCTGAAGCACATTCCAGCTCTCAGGGCTGGGACATGGCACAGCTGCAGAGCCCTGTTGTTGCTGTGAGCTTCACAGCTGAGAGGAGCAGAGCAGCACAGAAGTGAGGATCACTTGTGAAAGATCCTAATCACTGTGCACTATTAACTACACATGTGCTTCTAAGGGCCCTTTGTCTTGTCCCTGTTCTGGTCACTAGTCAGTGTCTATTCCCCGGTCACCATCAGGTTTAAAGCTCCATTGTCCCATGATTTGTTTCAGGGTTGTGTCTGCCCTGGTTTTGTCCTTGTCTCAATTCACAGGCTGGCACTGGCAAAATTTATGGTTTCCAAAGTCTGTTTATTCAATTCTCTAATGTTCTCTGTCTCCTGTATGCTGACACGTTATATTCTCTTCTCAGCTTCAATACCCTGGGGAAATTCCTGTAACGAACTTGCGTTTCTCATTCTACACCCACACCCCACCTAGTTATGATCAGCTCCCTCGGGTAAGCTGACACAGCATTCGTGATTTCTATGCTTGAGTTGTCATTTATAATTTAACATAATGCTTATTGATTTAGAAAGCAATAATTACATTTGTAGAACTTCTGTTTCAAAGTAAATTAAATAAATGAAAGAAATGTAATCACAATGCGACAGGTGGTAGAGTCACTTTGGGTTTTAAAAATGAACGGAAATTACCAAATTTCTTTTGAGGCTTAAACAGAAGTAGATAGAGGACATGTCCCTTAATACATCCCTTGCAGACTTCACTTAGTTCTTGCTTAAATTTGTTTGTCTTCTTTCCCATCTTACATGAATTGAGGTATGTTTAGAGTCCACTTTTACCACCTTACAGTTCAGCCACATAAGTGAGCCTACATTTAAATGCAGGGAAATGTTGTACCTAACATACACAGATATTAGCACAACTTGGAATTAAACATATGAGTATGTTTTAAGGCCTGGAGATGAAGTCTTATCATGTCTTTGTGCCTGGTGATTTTTATTCTTAGGTGAGTGCAGAAGAGATTGTCAGGTAATGTGGGTCTGATTTTTAGACATGACAATCAGCTTTAGCCTTCAGTGTATTCAGGTATGGTTTGTTTGGGGTTTGTTTGTTTGTTTGTTTGTTTGTTTTGAGTGATGTGGAGTTGGGAGGATCTTTTTGGAAAGAAAGAGAACCTCACACATACGTTTAAGTGCCTGTTTATGAGAGGATGAGAGTGTATGAAATGTTCTTACAGCAACATAAAAGAGCTCCTGATCTCATGGATCCCAACACTGTTGAAATAGCCATTTCTGTGTGGAAGAAATTGATAACTATCACTTTTGGATACAGCAAAAGCAGGGCTAAGGGAACTAATGTTTCCCTTGTCCTTCTCCACTTCTTCTGCCACAGCCCTGAAGAAAGTGACTTTTATGATGGGAGAGTGTGAATGACAAACATTAACATAAAGGCAAAAAAGCTCTCTGTCTGGATACAACAACCTGAGCACACTTGCCTATATTTGGGTTTTGGAGAGAGAACCCAAATCTGTAATGCTTCCCTCCCATGATTCTATTCTGGACTGGGTGAGGGTGCCAGTCCACTGTCTTGTTGCAGTAGCAGTAGCTTAATTTTGTCTGGGAAAAACTTGTGCTGTGGATCTTGCACGTCTAAATCTATGTTCTGAGGACTTCAACCCATCGCTATTGCTTGTCTGAAGAGTAAATGCCCACCACCAGCAAAAGGAAGTATGCATTTACTCCAACATGACAGTTAAATATGTCTGTTACACATCTACATGGATATGCAAAACAAAAAGAATCCTATTTCCTTTTCCAGTCCAAGAAAAATAGTTTATTCATTTAATTAGCATTTTTCTCTTTCTCTAAAGAGTCATCTAAGAGATACTTAAAACTTCAATTTGCAAAAATAATGTATTTTCTGGTCTCAATTTGGAAGCTGAGAACAAGATTTTTTAATTTTTTTTTCCAGTATTTTTAGTTCAGTTTGAAATATTGAAACTCTGAAAGTTTTGGGAGCTCTGATACAAACTCATGTGAATGAATATCTGTTGCTCCTCTAGAAAGGTAATAGAAGAAAGATGTGGTATACTTACAGAGTTTCTGTTGGGAGACTCAGATCCACTCCCAGAACTTCCCTTTTTGGTTTTCTGGGCTAAAGAAGTCCCAAAGCGGAGAGTTTCATACACAGGGTCAACCTTATTTCCACAGGCTGCAGCAAAAGGAGGAAAACATGCATCAGTACCTTGAAGATATTTCTGGTCATGTTCCTCTTCACTTGGAGGAACACCTGCCTGTACCGATATGTTGGGGTATATGCTCAGACACAAGTTGAGAGACTATCCTGATAAAAAGTGTCTGATAAACTTAATGGAACTGCTCTTTCCTAGCAATATTCTGCTGCCTCTCTACTCCCATAAAGATTATTCTCCCCTCATACAGGCTCTTCAGTTCTTGGCCACTGTCTTGTCTCTTTTCACCTGCCAGTCTCCTTCTCTTGCCACCACTGCTGCTGCCTATGCTGAGGTAAGGAAGACAAAATACCAGGAGGTTTTAGTCCATGTCTGTTTCTACCACTGACCTCTTGGGTTGCTCTCACCAGTAGACACTCTAAGGAAAAAGGTCTGCATTGTACCTGAGCATCCTTGCCATATGGGTGGGTTGTTGTTTTGATCCATCTACCCTCACAGTGCTCCTCCTTGGATATTGCATATAAACAGGATGGCCTGGACCTTCCCTGAAAGGTACTGACATCCCCACTGGGGCTTTATGGACTCTGGGGGCAGGCGTGAGTAGATATCTGATTTTGGGGATGTGCTCTAGCTTTTTCAGCTCAGACTAGGGGTTACCAGAAAGGCCATCACCCCACTGGCATATGTCTGTTCAGTTCTCACTCGCATTCTTCCTCATAGCTAGCCACAAAAGCCATCTCCCATGGAAAAAAATGGATGTCTTCAATGGGCACAAGCAATCTCAGTCCAGACTCTGTTTTACATACTGCATTATTAGGTCTCAACATCCCTTGAAATACAAGGTAGTAGACATGTAAAATACAGTACATTTGAAGCATTATGTAGAAGGGGAATTTTAGCCAAAGTACTCAGAAAATACAAGATATTATGGATTTTGAGTAGAGCAAAGCACTTCTTATTTGTTAGCCAGAATTTGTTCAAAATGTTTCTTCTGATAAAAATAATGAATACTTTTTGGAAAGAGAAGCTTTAATGAAATCCTTGTAACTCATTTTTTTTTTAACTGCTGAAAACAACAATGCAAATGTCCTCAGACAAGTTATTTTAAACTGACTGCCTAGGTTTGGTTTTCATTTTGTTGCACTTCCAGATTTGCCCGGTTAGGGTAGCAGCAGGGAAAAATATTTTCCTGAATAAATTTAACTTCTCAATTTCAAAATGTTTTTTTCTTTTTCAGGAATATGATATTACAGTGAGCAGACAATGGTCTTTTAAATACTTTGAAAATCTGTAGACATGATCAATAAGGAAAAATATGAGGAAAGTAAGAAGTGTGCATGAAAAAGGACAGTAACCTAGTGACATCCTTCAAAAGCCAGACCAGTAATTTGAATGCCTCCTGCTGTTTTGATCTCTCTGTGTTTTCTTTATTTCTTCCCAGCTCAGACCTTCACCTCTGTATTCGAGTGTTTCTTCACTTCTAAGTTCCTGCCTTGATCTCAGGTAGTTACTATTATAAACAGAGTAATTACTAAGAAGTATGTATATGGGGTTTTGAGTGAAACACATAATAAACACACCCTTTCCTCTTTCAGCTTTGTATCTTTGAAGTGGTCCTTTCCTGAGATGGCAGAAGGACATGCAGTCACTGAAAGGAGCTGGAAGGCTGCTGAGGGTAAATACCCTGGTTGGAAATCTGCCGCTGCTGTTGCAGAGCACTGCCAAAGGAAGACTGAATGGAAAAGCAATCAAAACCTACCAATCGGCATCACTTCTTTGATGCAGCCAAACTGTTCATGAATGAGTAGTGGTGAGCTGTAGTACCGTCGAAATCCCTTTGGCTGGAGGGAGAAAAAGCAAAAACAAGTGAAGGGTATTGCTGCCTTGACTGATGTCATAGAAATAGCCTCATCATTTTGGTTAAAGGTGTAACAGTGTTGTGAGTCTGGAAATTCGCCTCCTGCTGTTCAGTCACTGTGGGGTTTAGAGATAGGGGTTTATTTGGTTCTTCTCCTGGAAAAAAACCAATTTCCTGTATTTTTGTGGAAGGAGGGGCTCATTTTTAGCTCCCCTTTTTCTTTTGTCTTTCACAAAAGCAGCACTAATTAATTGCAGCACAAGTGCTGAATCATCAGAGGTTCTAGGAAGTTTCCTTCTCCCTACCTTCTTATATAACATGAACTGACATTGTTTTGCACTTGTTATACATCTGACTACCCTTCCCCACCCTACCTCCAAATCCTCATATTCCCACATATAAGCTTGTGAAACCCAAGAAATTTAGAGCCTTTCTATCGTTTTTTTCCTAATTTTGCTGCTGTCTGCAGCTTTCACTGCTTTTTTTTTTTTTTTTTTTTTTTTTTTTTTTTTTGTCTTGTAGGTTCAAAAAGCTCTCTAAGTTATCAGCAGATATCCCCTCAGTGTACACTTGTTGAGAAATGTACTATAAAAATTCAAGCTGTACCATTAAAGAATACCACCATACAGCAAACAATGGTTACCTATACAACTCTAAAAAACATTTTTAGAAGGTTGAACATTTCCTGTTGACTATTTAATATCTGAACTCAGTACTAATCATTTGATTAGTACTCAAAATAAAGGTGCTGGAATCTTTGTAAATGCCTTTTAAGGCATTAGAGATTCATAAATGGTCTCTTAGATTTCTAATGTCTCCAGGCCATGAGAACTTCTAGTCACAGCGAAAAGTGGAAAAGATTCACAGAAATATGCATATTTTCCATATCCTATGTTCAGTATACATCAAAACCAGACATACAACTAGTTCTTCAGCTAAAGAGCTGCAGTATAGGCTCAGGAGCGAGTGGACTGATAACCTTGGTTTCCTAGAGGAATATGTTCCAGATTCTTCAGCCTCGGTTTACCTCCAAGCTAGATTCAGATGCAGCATGAGCTCACAAAACTCCTATGATTTTGCTGACAACTTCCTGATGTAAATTTGGTGTCTATTATTCTGTTTCTGTAAACTAGTGACCACAAGAGCTGAGGCTGGAATCAAGAAATGCGTGAATCAGTTACCTTGATGCAATATTTGGCTTGTCCGAGGCTTGCAGTGAGGTCATTCAGCTCTTCACAGACCAGCTTCCTGTACCAGAATGCCTCACACGAGAACTATGATTATGGTTTAAGTACATAAAGACTTGCCTCAAGGATGTAAACAACAATAGCTTTCACTGAACACTCTTGGAGAGAAAAGATGCTTCCAGTGAAAGGTGGGTTTTGTAGCCCTTTTCAAGTCAATACTTGAATTTTTCCTGTCATTTAACACAGTAAAACTATTTGGTTTTAGCTCATATTTGTCCAAGTGCCTTCAAGTTGCAACAAATCTGAGAATACCGGAAACATGAATATAAGTATTCAGTTTTCATATTCCAAATGGTCTTTTTTTCCAAAAGTGACCAGAAGAACCATATTCCCATAAAAGTCAATTATGTGGGTTAAAACTGTCTAACAGCTAAGGTGTTATGTCTATACAGAGGCAGGCTTCTGCTCTTCCCAGCCCCCAGCTTCAAGATTGCTTCAAACTCTTTGTTGTCATACTGAAATATCCTTTGGTTTACTTTTTAAGATGAATTATATTTTTTCTTCAAGCCCTAACAGTGGAAAAACCAATAAAAATAATTTGAAGGATTTTTCATTTGTTAAACTCAATTGAAATGTTTTGATTAATTTATAGTATTCCTTGAGAGATTTACACTTCAGCAAGCACAGTTTAAATCAAGGTAATCAATTCTGTTATTTATCTGAATTTGGATTCTGCAACTGCATTTTCACATCCACAAAAACAGACCAGATTTGTGTTTTGGTTTTCTTTGGGTCCTCAAGTAGTAGCAATTGACCAAATTGATAAAAGGGCACTACCTGACTTTACATTTCCCACCTCAGTAAAGTGATCTGCTGTCAGTTCTGTTAATGCACCAGCTAAATGACAGCTGGGGGGCAGACACACAAAGTACAAGCTGGTGCCTCCCACTTCTCTTTCTGCCTTGAGCTGCTCACTTACCAGTTTGCCCATGCAGCGTTGCTGTCCGATACTGTCTGCACACTTGTGATGGATGCTCATCTTACAAGCCTTACAGCGCAATCCGTGCTTAGCATTTGTCCCTGTGAAATGCATGGAAATGATTTAATTAGATGAAATCAATAGTTTCCATGCATTTAAACAAATGACCTGAAAGAACTGATGGGGTCAGTTGCCATGGAGCAAATATTGACAGCTTTCTTTGCCTTACCTGCTTTTTAAAATGCCCATTTATACACACATTTTGTTTACAGCCACTTCATTTTAGGCATTTCTCCCCCAGGCTCTTTCCCAGGCTATTACTGCCTTTAGACATATATATTGGATCATGCTCTGCTATATGATAGTCTTATCAGCGATGTCTCTGCCTTATGAACATCAAGCAAAATACCTTTGCTAATTTGAAAGGCTTGATATGAGAGCTGTGCAAGGCTGTGCTCCTGTGAAGGAGCACCCAGGCTCCAGAGCTGTCCTGGAGAGTCTGGCCATCAGTGGAGGCCTGGTTTCACGGGTGAGAAGTAGCTCTGAGGGCAACAAGGGCTAGACCAGCTCCTTTGCCATCATCCACCCATGGGCAAACACAACCCTCTTTGTTTGGTTTCTTTTTCCTGCGTGGTTGCACTTGGATTAGTGCACTATGAGAATTTTTTTGGTTACAGTTTCTTTTCAATTACAGATGCTCAAACCAATATTGACTTCTGTGCTCAGGGATTGCTGCTCTCACCATCCTGGGCCAGTGCTCAGGGAGTGCTGAAAGGGCTCCTTGTGTGTCCCTGAGTGGAGCAGTGAGGATGCCACGAGTCTGACCTTGCTCTCCTTCACTGGCAGTGGAAAAGTTCTGTGTTACAGCTAGGGGAGCTATAGGAGAAATTTTGTCTTACAAAAGCAGACTTGCCCTACTTGGCCAACAGTATTTCTGCATTATCTTCAGTGTGGACCCACTCTTAAATGACAGACCCAAGTCTGTTTGCTTCCAGGCAGGAACAGTCACTCTTATTCATACAACCGTAACACTTCCTCAACCATGCAGAAGCAGTCATGCTGCAGCAACTCTTTTATCCCCATAGGACTGGATAAATGAAATGAGTAAACAACACGTCAGTTCATTATCATCTACTGTGGGAGTGAGTAAGAAACAAGGTAGTAAAAAATCCCCTAAAAAACTCTTGACATTTTAACCAGCCTTCATTAGTCAGACATGATAGGAATATTAGTCAGAAGGATCCTACATCTGAAAGTACTCATGTAGCTCTTGGTTATTTGAGTAGTCAACACCGTGTACATGCTGCTGGATTCATCCGGTGAAACACTATGTCTGAAAGAAGCACTTCAGGGAAGGTTTCATCAAGTTGGTGCCAAAATCCCAGGTTTGACAAGACCACTTTCAGGGGAAGAGGTGCCTGAAGCACTTCCAAGCCAGATAAGGCAGGCTGAAGTAGCTGTGGGTGGTTGTGGTGAGCCAGGCTCAGATGTTTCACTTGTGTGCTTCTTGTAGGATAGGGAACTTCCCTGCCTTCCCATTGAGACTGCTGGAGAGATGGAGAGTGAATGGGGTTGAATAGGGTGTGCCCCAGGTACTTCCATGGAGTGGGGTCAGTGACTGCTTACTGCTTCTTGCCTACCTCACCACTTTCAGCCCTCTCTCAGTAAGCAGAATTTACTAGACAGACTTTACTAGAACACATCCCTGTTTGTTTTGTTTCTTTTTCCTGTGTGGTTGCACTTGGATCAGTGCGCTGGGGGGACGTTTTCAGTTATAGTTTCTTCTCAATTTCAGATGCGCAAACCAATATTGACTCCAGCAGCTTTGTGCTTATATTACTGATGATGAAATGCTGAATCACCCTTCCTGATGATCAACAATTGGCATTGAGGAAACAGTACTTCCTCCACAATTTTTTATTATATTTATAGGGGAGAATGAAAAAAGAAAAATGACATCGTGCTTGCCTAGCAACACATCAATGGTTACACTGGATCTAATTCTCCTCTCACGCTGGTCTATACTAACATAACTCTTACCTGTTCTACCAAGTTACTCATAAGATTCAGCTGTGAAAAGTCAGACAGTCTCACAGTTCTTTCTGCTGGCTCTCTTATGCTCTTCCAGCCATTTTAGTGTTAACGTTACCAGGAGGATATTGGTCCTTACACGTTATAACAATGTGATCACAGAAGTTACGCACTTGTCAATAAAATTGTTTGCCCAAATGATGTGCAAAATGAATGTAAAGTATCTGTGGTGCTTTCAAAATTCAAACCCCAACATTTTCCAGAACAGAAATTTGTGATCACATGAAACTCTGTAAGACCATTACAAAAGAACCTGCCATATTTTACATGTGGGTAGCTAAGTAGTGACTTCAAAGAGAGGAAAAGCATTTTGGTCATCCACCTAAGTCTACAAGAAGTCTTTGTAAATCAAAATGAAATTCCCTATAGCTACCAAAAGTTTTGATCTTCAGCTTCTTCTTATTTCTAACTTGGTTTGCTATGGGACTAGCTTGGAAAAGAATTTTCATGTATCTCTCTGCCTCCCACTGAGGAATAACTAAGGGGCTTAGAGAAGAGTCATTTATGCTGTACTTACACTTAACCACCATATCTCAAGCTCTGAAAATGGCATTTTTACAAGACACATCTTCTTTTTTCCACATGATAATTCTTTCTTCTTCAGTTTTATCCCCATTACACTAAATCAAACCACATAAGAGAACAATGGCTCAGCTATTTCAAAACTGCACGCCAGGGATTAGACAACTACATATTAGCAGTGTATCTGACCCAAAAGTTCCTGAGATTCAGAACTGAGGCACAATCACAGTTCACATCAAGGAGAAGAGATCATATTTGGTATAGGTGCAGACGAGACCAGGGTTTGATCTGTTGCATCAATTACTGGCATCCCATTTAAGCAAGCTTGTTGGCTTTGCAGAAGCCTGAATGGGGCTGATTTTGGAAGGCATCCTGGTAGTTTGAAATAGTGAAAAAGCAGGCAGAACATGGATTTTGCAAGGAAGTTATTTAAAGCTGAGTGAGTACAGTGAGAGTTCTACGGTCATGCACAAGCATAAGAGAGTTATTTCATTATACCCTAAAGTAGTGGCATAGGATATAGCAATATGTTGAAACATTATTTGCCAATAAATTCCCCCAGAGAGAACAAGAAAGTTAGGAATTTAGCCTGAACATACATTAAATAGTTGAAAATAACTGGTATTTAAGACTAAAAAAAGCAAAAAAAAAATCGACACTGACAAAGATAGTAATAGTAATAATTATAGCAATAACAACAGCAACACAATAGGGTAGACTATTTAAGGAGAATTTGTATTATTTTACTGCACTGCCATAGGGTACCAGTTGAAAACCTCTCTGCAGTGTGCTTATTCCCACTGGTTTAATCTTTCTCTAGACTGAAGCATGGGGAAGGGGAAGCATAAGGAAAGAGTTCACATTTGAGGTGGCTACAGCAGTGTCTGGAAGGTGCAGTGTTCCATTTAGTGAAGTCTAGGACACTAAAAAACTCTCCTCAGGGACTTCGGTTGAACAAGCTCTGATGACCTGCAAGCCTGACCATCACCCTCTAGTTTGATTCCTGCCCCCCTAAAAAGCTGACAGCTTGATTGTAGCCTATTTTTCATTCCAAGCAGCAGATATTCCTCTATGCCAATGTTAAAGCAAAGCTGGAAGCTTCTGGTATAGTACTCACTGATATGTCTTAGCCCACCTGGAATAATTTTAGTTTGTGGTAATTCAGAAATACAGGAAGCGAAGGCTTAGCAATTAAATAAATTTGGAGCAACCTAGATACTTTTTCTATGGTTTTCATTCAAAGGGGAAGTAGACTAAGAGCTTTGATGGATTCTTTGCTATTACCTTCAAAAAGTAATCATCCCTCCTACCCCCTTCTCCAAAGACCTTTACTGAGGTTACCTAAGCCAGTTGTTAAATATGGAGCAGGCTAGAACAAAGTTCTGCTCAGTCACTTTTTGATTGCAATCTAGGGATGTGATAGTCACTATTTTTATTCAAAGCACACTACTTCATTCACTGAACAGGGCAGACAATGCTTGATGAATAGGCAACTCTATTCAATATTTCTATTTTATTTTCCTTGGTCAGTGTGTGTCCATAAGAAACATCTCCTGAGTACCACACTAGCCTTGTTCCAAATACAAAGTGATTATTAGCCTCATGAGCTTTCCAATGGGCTCACTGTCTTTGTCTCTTGCCCATGGGGAGTCTCATTTGGGAGACTAAGGAGTAAAACTGTCAGAGGTTTCAATAATACTATTTTGGTCCAGATGATGGTGTTTAAGTTGTAAAAATTGCAGACTCTAAAACACAGGGTTTAGAATGGAAAGTACTAGATATGTTTAGCTGGTTTATGGTTTTCATGAACATAACTGTAAATGTAGTCATGAAAGTAATATAGGAGAAAAAATACAAAAACATTTGCACAAATGTCTTCTGTGTCCTATTCATTAATATTCAATATATCAATTATCTCATAGTCTGTAAAGGCTGGTACCCCTTTTGCAAACAAAAAAGCCAAAACTGACAAAAGAAACTATATTTCATGGAAAACAAATGAGGACATTTCATGTCAGAATACCTGAGTAGCTCTTAAATAAACTTACAAATGAGTCATTTTCCTTGCATACCAACTAATGTATCCAGGCACCTAGCACTGGAAGGATACACTTTGAGAATGTGTTTTCAGAAGCAGGTCATGTTTAATAACACCTTGATAGAAATACTCTATGACTGGGTCAGCTCCCATTTGAATAGCTAAACCAGTGGCTAGGTTTTCCAGAACAGTCAGGGAAAACTGAATCTTAAACTGTTCTGATAATATGACCTTAAATAAAACTAAAAGGACACACTGCATCACTTTTGTAAATCTAAGCCTTTTTTGGAGGCAGCCTAAATGGAAACAGAACACCTCAATATAGGTGAATGGAAATATCTGGGAGGCAAAGACAGGCAGAGGAAACAGGGCAGAATTTGATTCCAACTTTTTGTATGTCCTATAAAAGCAATTTAGTAACTACTGTGCATTTCAGGAAAGTGACATTTA